TACTATATTGGACACTTGCGCTTCTGGCCGCGGTCTGTGGGGACTCGCTAACGATCCGTTCCCACAGTAGCCTTCTGGAGAGCTAGTGGACGTAAGTCCTGCTCTTTTCTCAGGGTCCCTTCTGGACTTGCATCAGCATTCAACCGGCCACATCAGTGATATGCGCGTCGAGGACCGGACGACGCGGCGGCGCGAGGGGCGCCGCGGTGGCGTCTGCAAGTTCTTCACGCCCCCGACCCCATGCAGCAGCGGCCGGGCATGTCCACAATGCTTCTTTGTTCAGTGAGACCCGAATGCTCAGGCCGCAGCGATGGACTGTAGCGCCGACTAAGGCTGAAATGCACGTCGGCACGGCTCCACAACAGGACGACGGAGCTTGAACTTGCAGGAGAATATTGGACAATCGCGGCTTCGGGCCGTCGTCTGCTTGGGCCACTAATGATCCGTTCCCAGGGTAGCTTCCTGAAGAACTAGACGTGAGGCCTGTTGTTCTCTCGGGCGGTCGCACCCACTGGACCTCAAGCGGGGCCTAGCCGTGTGTACGCTGGAGGCTCAGTAAGGGGGCGAGCCTCATACATATATAGTTTCGACAATGCTACTGTCTAAATTGAAAAGCTGCAGAAGCTCGACCTTGGAAAGCCGAAGCAGCATCCCCCATGGCTTCAAAGCGTTTGAACATGATGTCCGTCTCGAGGTCCCGGTTGATCTGGTCTCGATCCCATGCATTCACGCGATCGCCTGCCAGCCCTCGTGGATCAGGATTACTGGCCATGCTCTCGAACCACTGCCGCCGCTCCCTCTGCTCCTTGGTTGGGTTCTGAGCCCGGTAGGCCGCTTTGAGATCCTCCCAGCCGTTTACACCGCGTGAGTCTTCGGCTACGTAGTGTCCAGAGCCATCGAGGCAGACAAAGTCGTCGGTGGAATCGGCACGTCCTAGGACTGTAAAATAATGCTCCCAGTTGTCACCGAAGTCGTAGGTGTAGACGATCTGGGGATCTGGCTCAAGTGTCAGGATAAGGGCGGTTACATAGGGATACTTCAATGGCTGACGAATACATACTTTGAAACTGTGCATCGTCCAATAGCTGGAACAGCCTGTACTTGTCGGCTTTCTTCTCTGGCGTGTTGGCGTGACGCCTCGTCGACTCGTGCATGCGATCGATGCCGGAAAACATGGTCTGTTCGACCGGGTCGACAATGCGGAAGAGATACTCCCTCGGCTCGGAAGCCGGAAGTTGATCGCCTGACGGGCCGAGGGCCATGCGTCTTCTCATGACTTCCATGACGTCGGTGGGCTCACGGTAATCTGGATCCAGGACTGCGAAGTCGAACGAATGCGTGGTCGCCCACCCAAACGCTGTTTGCAGCGCAAGGTGAAGGCCGTAGAAAGAGACGTGCGCCGGGCATGACAAGGTGCGCGTTACCGGCGGGTTCGTAATGTGCTCCGGGCCCAGGTGGAACTTGATGATGTAGTTGGGTCGAACACAGGCCCCCTTGTGAGATGGCCAGGCCGCCGACTGACACTCGCGCGAGCAGTATGCCGCCTTGCGGCATCTAGAGCACCGCTGGAGGGAGTTGGTGTCTAGGGCAAAGGAGGAGGGCTTTGTACAGCCCGCGTTGCCGCACTTGTCCATGGACGACATTGGACTGTCAGCAGACGACAGAAGTGGATGTTTGCGAGATCAGGGCGGCCAGCAAGGATCAGAAAATTTTCGAGGTGTTAGCACATGAGTTAACCTTAAGGGATTTTCCGATGATCTGCCGGATCCCGTGACCCGCCGGACACTGCACGGCCTCCATGGCGTAGTGGTGACACGTCTGGAGCCTCTGCGTCGCAGAGGGGTCGGTTCGAAGCCGGCTGGAGGCACCCCTGAGCGAACAGGGTACACCCGGGTTCCCGCCCGTCAACAGGGAACAGCGTCATGAGAGAACACAATCGGCGTACCAACCACCATCAATGACTAACACAACCACGCTTCAACTTCGGCACATCGCGCTTCAGTTGCTGGGAATAGGATGCTGAACACTTGGAGAAATTGACCTTCAAGCAGGTCTGTCATGGAGCGAACAGTGGAATGGTTGGCGCAGCGTAAGATGATCTGTGGGGCTTGGGGAGTCAAGGAACAAACGTGTTGAACTGTACTCTAGACAGTGTAAAGGCCTTATAGGGACCTCCCTCCGGGCGAAATAAATCCTACTACTACTACTACGGCCTGATCCGGTGGCGAGACAATTGTTTTTTTTTCAGGTGTACTCCGTACCCGTTGGCAGGTTACTTCGTACCTCAGTAAGCCAACTTGGGGCCCCTTCCCCTAAGTTGGGCGGAAAAGTCCCGGACAGCCCTAAAAGTCCCGGACAATCAAGCTTCCTAGTAAATTAATAGGGCTTCTGTTGGTAGGTCTCGTGCACGTAACAAACAGGGTATACCGGTGTGTCGTGTTATGCAATGAGGATTGATTCTCTATCTAGGGAGGCGAGGCCAGCGTGGAGAAAAAGGGGGCACGCTGTCCTCAGCCGTACACGTGACCATAAGGGTCATGTGCCGATCATGTGATCAGAGACGGATGCATACAAAGGATGAGTACCATTCCCACAGCTTCTGTTACCCGTGCCACGCCCCACTTTATTTGGAATTCGCAAGCTCCCACCTCATCAGTATTTTTCAACTCTCCCCTGTAAAAATTCTTCTCTTCTGCGGGCTGTTAGCAGCCTGTTAGTGGATGATTATTTTCAGGTCACCCGACCATGCTTCTGCCTCTCTAGCCCTAACGGGGCTCTAGCAAGCACCAAAAGGCAGACTTTGGAGAGTTCGTCTCCTCTTGGGAAGCTGGTCTCGAATAACGGCATGCCTCGCGCTGCCTCGCCTTCTGCCGCCTCGCGGCATCGCCTTCTTCTGCCGCCTTTACTGGCTGGCCTCGACTTCTGCCGCCTCGCGGCCCCGACCTCTTCTGCCGCCTCGCGGCCCGACTTCTTCTCGCCCTTCCTGGCACGCCTCGCGCTGCCTCGCACCCTCTGCCGCCTTTACTGGCTGGCCTCGCCTTCTGCCGCCTTGCGGCTCTGCCTCCTTCTGCCGTCTCGCGGCTCCGAACTTTGCCGCCTTGCGGCCCTTTCTGCCGCCCAGCGGCCACGACTTCCTCTGGACTGGTGGGCCGCGGGGGCCCCGAGGAGCTACAAGAGCCTAGAGCTCAAGGCCTCACCCGGGTGTCCCCCGGAGCTGCACACTAATCGACAAGACCTCCACCACCTGCTTGCTACGAGGAGCAGGCACGGGGACTTCGCCGACTGTCATAACCACGAAGTGGCCCCGGATCGAACGCTCCTGCGGGAGAAGACAATCGCCATCGGGGCGAATCCCCGACTAACATTGCTACACTCTCTGCTTCCTTTTTCTTTTCTTTTTCTTTCTGCCCCGTAGGCCCTCCTCGAGGGGGCTTGCGGCCGGCCCATGACTTCGTGGGCTTTCTCAGTCACCCGGCCTCGGCCAAAGACTGACTACTATTACGGCTTCACTGCCGTGCCTGGAACCCGCTGACGGGGAAGGGCCCTGAATTTCCGACCGGCCTCAGAGCCTCAGAATTGCTAGATGGAGTGGTTAGGTGCTACACACGGTCCTTAGTCCAGGTACTCGGGATATTCTATGTATCTAGTCTTCTCTAGCCTAGCACGTCTTTTGCCCTTATAGGGATGTCCCAGACGGTAATCAATACTACTACTACTACTACTACCAGCCAAGCTGGACACAGATGTTCTGGGGATAGCACGTCTGTCAAAGCGCTGTTGCACTCGATTCCCGTTCTTCATATTTCTTTACTCTGGGGTAGGTGTGGCTCTTGATTGCCATCATGGCAGAGCCTGAAATGGCGCCTCCGGCCGACGTGGGGGTGGGGCTGGATCCAACTAGCCCGTCGCCATTGACGCGTCCGACGCGAGGATGACGCCCAGCGCACGAGTGCAGGATACGTTACGAACGCTGGAAAATGCGACCGCGAGCTCCCAAGCGTGTCTCGACCCGAACGACGCGAGTCATATCGGTGGGCAACGAAAGCGAAAGAGGCGACGAGGTGAAGTCACGCAGCAATGCGGAGACCGCCAAATCGATGATGCAGAGGGTTCTAGAGATGCTGGCGAAGATGGGAAGTGAGATGGTGGAGCTGAAACATCGAGTATCCGAGCAAAGCGACACGATCAGGAAGCTGAGCGCCACGGTTTACAAGCAAAGCACTATCATTCAGGGACAGGAAGATCTGATCCGAGGCTTGGAAGCCCAGGCCCAGGAATCCAAGGAAGAGTTTCGACGTAGGAGCGAAGAGCACGACAAGGAAATGAAACAGGAGCACCGGGATCTTAAGAGAGAATTGGTTGGAGTGAAAGAGCAGCTACACCAGCTGATGCAAAAGCTGGATGTATCGGGCGAGGTGACTTTGCCAAGCGGCCCTCGAGCAACGTTTGCGGACGTCGCGCGCGCCCTGCCAAACAGCCCGCCCTCCACTACACGCAGCATACCTGGTCCAACCAAACAGCAGACAGCCAACGAGTCTGTCCATTGTACCATTGACACGTCTCGTGTAAGTGAGTCGAACAGGAACAAAGCGCAAATCGGGCAGATACGACAGGCCATCGAGGTTGAGATGAGAGCGAAGAACGGACATGAGACCTGGAGGTGCGCAGCAGTTGTGAGAGAATCCCGGAACGCCGACCGAGTCAAGATCGTCTGCAGAGATGAAGCCGAGCTTCAGCTGGTCAAAGAGGCGGCGCAGAAGACAGCCGTGGCTCGGTATATTAGAAGGTGAAGTCCTTGACCACTTTCTTTTGCAAAAGTGGAGATGACGCGTTTGCTGGCTGGCGATTTTCAACCTCGGCGACGACATACGCCTCACATTGCCTCCTTAGTCGCCGTAATTCCTCATGTTTCTCTCTGACGTATCGCCAAAACTTGTGCTGCTGTCCAAGTCCCTCGCCACCGAAGCCACGAGTGAGTTGGACCAGTTCCTCACACATCTTCAGTGCATCATCGATTCTGCCTTGGTCCCCATAACAGTGGACGAGGAACCACATTGCTTGGACTGGGCAAGTAAAATTGTTACCCAGAGCTCTTCGAATAAATGAGGCTAAACCGAAAATAAATGATATCACTTACCCCGATCCAGGTGCTCCCCATCCGCACGTTTCGATTGCTCATAATTGTGCTTTTGGATGACATCTTCCCATATGTCCGCCGCTTGCGAATATTCCCCTTGGCGCCAGTAAAGATGCCCATGCCAAGTTCGAGCTGCAAGGGTTCCAAGGTGAGTCTCACCCAGGTTTCTCTTGGCGGCGGGCAAGCCTTCTCGAAAGATCTCTTCAGCGTCGTCGAACTGACTCATTGCAGTTTTGATCTTTGCTAAAGTCAACTTGGATTTGAGTGTTTCGGGGTGTTCACGTCCGAGTTCCTTGACGCGGATATTCACCACCTCTTCACTCAACCGAAGGGCAAGTGCTAGGTGCTGCTCTCCAACGAACCCGTAGATTCCAGCCAGATCGTCTTGGGCTTCCAAGGTCTTCCTGTGCGTTGGGCCCAAAATCCTCTTCATTCCCTTGTACGCCAACTCTTGTAACCGGACCGCCTCTTCCATATCAAAATAGCGAAGCCTGACCTTGGCAAGGTTGTCAATTGCGGTATAGAAATTCTCGTGCTCGGGGCCAAACGCTTCCAATTTGGACAGCTTTTCGATCACTTCCTTATGCAATCGATCAGCTTCTCCAAGTCGACTGCATAAAAGGCATGTGCGGCCGAGAGTATCCATAATCCGTAAAGTCGTAGGATGACCTGGCCCGTAGTAGTTCTTGGCCGACTGAAGTACCTGGTACTGTAGTACTCTAGCCTCGTTGGTCCGTGTCTGCAAGACGTAGGTAGTCGACAACAAAAGAGCGATGTCGATACCATATTTGGACTCGGGGCCGAGTGTCGCGAATAGGTAATCCTTCACTTGAAGTTGAAGCTCCTCTGCCTTGGCCCAGTCTCCGCAACTTAGGTATACCAGACTGAACTTCACATACTCCCGGGCCTGAAATGTCTGTAGACCTTCCCAAGGTGTAGGCCATATCCAACGCCAAGGCCAATGGATGACTCGCTGATTGTCTTGTAAGCGTTTCTTGATTTGTTTCTGCAGCCTTCGCACGTGTTCCACGTGTGGATGAATCTGTCTTTTGAACCTTTCATCCTGAGGGGCATTTTCCCGTGGAGCTTGGAGGAAGATGGATTGCGCCAAAACTGTGGATGCCGACTGACACCATAATGCTTGCTCAGCTGTACTGGTGTCAGGTCTCTGTCGTACCCACGTATGCACCAATGGATGCATCCAGTAGCTGTTGTTTGCATCGTGATATGTCACCATGCCGAGGCGCACCAGAAGAGAGAGCGCGATACGTAGCCGGTCTTCATCGAATGGGGTGTCGTCCTCATCCCGCAGAACATGAGGGAGAGCGATCCTTTCCCTCCTCAGCTGTTCCGTGATTCCGATAGCCCAGCTGTAAAACTTGTCCATCCACGTGTGAGGTCGCCGAGGGGCTAGATGTTGTTCTTCAGTGTGTTCCGTAGCCTGGGCGTCTCCTCGCTCCCGCCGGGGGTTCGTTGCTGCAGTTTTGATAAGATCAAACTCGATGTTCTCACGGTAGAAGAATGAGAACATCTTTAATAGCTCGAGGGCATCCCTTGAACGCCGGTCGGTTTTGTTTTCGAGGCCGACATAGATCATCTCATATGAAGAATACACACTCATGCTAGACACATGCTCATCATCATGGCCATGGGAGGCTCTTCGACTTCGAGAACGGCGGATTTTGTTCCAAGTTCGTTCGTAGTATTCAGGATAGTCACTGAGTGAACACAGTTTGTCCAAAACGGTCTTTCCGGCATGGATGAGCGCGAGAGGCAGATATCCCAGGACTCGGGCGATTCGGTCTGCATGACTCCTCGTCGGCACTTCCCATGGACGCGGTAGCACGGCTGCCGCCAGAAGGAGATCACTAGCCTCCTCAGTCTCCAACTTATCGAAATGGAAAAATCTGGGACCTTCCGTTCCGTGCCTCCTAGTGCTTGGGTTGCGTGTGGTAATGAGTATGACGCCTCCTTCGCCCCCCGGGAAGTAGCGCGCCACATCGATCTCGGGGTCATCGGCATTGTCGATAAGAAGTAGCCAAGGTAACTGAAGGCCGGAAAGCCAGTTCTTTGCTGCGTTCTCGTTCGGTTCAACACCACCAACCTTGGCAATTTCCGAGTAGCAGCGTTGAGCGTTATCGCCAGAACTCCCATCGACCCAAAAGACGCCCCAGAAGCTGGTATCACCATTAATATTGTGTAATATAGCTGTGAATATGAAGCTTACTGTTCTCTATTATCCTGTGCAAATTTGCAGCAGAACTGGGTCTTTCCAGACCCGCCGAGACCGGAAATGACGAAGCGTTTCTGATGGGTTTGATGTTGGTGCAATTCTCCAATGCCGACTATGGATCTCAGTTCATTCAAGTGTCGCTGCCGGCCGGTGTAATAACTGCTGACATTTTGGGGAATGTCGAAATGCTCATTGAACCTGATGAGTGATGCCACGGCAGACACAGAATCGATAGAGTAGGTGGCCTACAACACATGAGCCGGTTTACTGCATGGAAGCTTGCAGAGTAACTCACATCGCCTGCACCGGCCAACGTTCCGGGGTCCTGGCGAAAATTGCTCATTTTGATTCTTAGCCTGGTGATTTGACGCCGCAACTCTTCTGGGAAGTTGCCAACCGCAAGATCCCTTGGTGGAAGCGATTGGCGTATGTACATGCTGCGTCAGTTAGCCAACTGCCGTATACTGAGTCCAGATTCCTATACACACATGTTCAGTGACAACAATAATACTTGAATGCTGTCCTGGTAATTGTGGATGCGGTGGCATAATCGGGAGTAGTCGTCTTGCCGGTTCTGGAATTTAATGGTCGCTTTGAGGCCATCGAATTTTCCAGCTATGACGGCATCTTTGTTTCCAACGACCTCGATCAGCAAGGCTTCGAGCTCTTTGACGGCACCTTTGCTGAGCAGCAAGGTAGATGCCAAACGTTCCTGAAGCTCCAAGGTAGCTCCATGGTCCGCTGGTGGGCTCAGGGTATCCCAGTCCTGCCTGCGAAACGGCAACTCCTCAACCAACTCATTGACATTTGCTAGAGCTTTGACTTCGTTGGCCAACTTGTCGACTTCACCCTGGATCTTTTTGGAGGCTCCTCTCAGAACGATAAGATAGTTAATGACACGGAAGGTGACATCTGTCAGCCCCGCCGTTCCAGCAGTAATGGAGAAAGGGTCCATGACATCTGAAGAAAGAGCTTCAAGTCTTGAGAGGCTGACGCTGGTGAACCAGAAGCGAGTGGTGGAGAAAACAATGAGTTCAGGAGCGGAGTCGTGAAATCTGTCCGACATTCTCCCTGGACTTACCGTGGGGCTGTCAGTTGGTCACAAACACTGGCTGTGTCGTGATCTGCGGGCCGGACCATGCGGCCTGAAATAAGCGCCGGATTTTGTCCAATGATGGCGAGCAATGGCCGGATATTGTGGGACTTAGTGTGATCGCGCTGTGGGCAGTTCACCCGCTCTAGCCAATCTGCAACTGCGCCTCGCTCCGCCGCTCTCACAAGTCCATTCGGAGCGTCAAGGCATCAATGGAGCAGGGATCTATTGTAAGCCTCCCTGCCCACATTTTCGGATATCGATGCTGATCACTGAGGAGGGTAAAAATTGCAGCCAATGCGGTACAGCTACAAGTCACGCGGCCTTAGCGCCTGGCGTGGGTGCAGGTACTTCTACTACCAGCTGATATCTAGTACGTTTCTTGTATTTTCAATTAGACGTTTTGTCAAGACCATGGTGTCAACCCACATGGACTAACGAACCTCGGACCGGATCACGCCAAGGAGCGGCCCGAATGCAAGCGCCGAGTCATCACCAATAGCAACTTAGTGTGTCCGCATTGGCGTGGTATGCAGGCGACCCCGCCAGTGCGACTACGGTATGTTCGGCTTTGTCCCTTCTTGGCAAGGACCTCGGTAACCCCATCTCAACGGAGCCGTGTTACTATCAACACGACGTAAATGGTCGCAAACACCCCCTTCCCACCCAACCACCTTGTTTTGTGACCCAGCGCTTGTTCATTTGGTGAAACGGAGAATCGCTTCAAACCACTCAGTCTCGTTACTTTTCGCCATTTGACGTTTCTCAGACAACATGGACAATCTAAGACTGTGGATGAGCGGCTGGCACATTGGCCTCCTTACCATTATTTTTTCAGTATTGAGCTATCTCCATGTCCAAAAGCGTCGCCAGGATGAAGTGAGACGATCACCTTCCTTGCTATCTCCCTGACTCACAGACAGACCAGGCCGATACGCTCTTTGGATGGCAGCACGGCTGCCAACCCATTAAAAAAAAACTGCCCTACAAGTGGCCGTTGGCGATTGATGTCTTCAAAGGCCAGTACAACGCATTGATGCGTGGAAACTTGCTCGCCTACCAAGCAGACTTCTTCCAAAAATTCAAAGTTGGCCAAACCTTTGAGGTCAGGCTCCTGGGCCGTGTCGGCTACTTTACCATGGATCCCACGAATCTAGAGCATATGCTACAGACACACTTTGACAGTAAGAAACCAGCCATACTTATGACAAGGCTTGTTTACATGATGTGCCTTCGTTAGAATGGGAACTTGGTAATAGTCGCGATGCACTTTTACCCATGATCGGCAACGGCATCTTCACCCAGGACGGTCAAGCCTGGAAGCATTCGCGTGAGCTTCTCCGACGACAATTTATGAGGATGCAATATCAGGACGTAACGAACTTTGAAGAGCCCGTCAATGACTTGCTGGCGAATCTGCGGCGTTGCGCTGGTGTTGTCGATCTTCAACCCGCCTTCTTCAGTTTCACATTAGCGACCACTATCGCTCTCATTTTTGGTGAGCCTTTCGTAGGCATCAAGCAAAGCGAACACGACACGTTCGCGGCAGCCTTTGACTACACGTCCTTAATCTCGGCGATGCGCATGCGACTAGCTGATTGGCACTGGGTTTATAACCCCCGTAAATACAGGAAAGCCTGTGCTCTGATCAACAACTATGCTACGCAATACGTCAATCACGCTCTGAAAGAAATGCACGAGAATGGGGAGGAAGCTGCTACCAAGCGCCATCCCTTCATCCTCGACCTTTTCAGAGGGCTCCAGAATCCCAAGTTGGTCCGGGATCAACTCATGAACGTATTAATTGCGGGCAGAGATACTACTGCCTGTCTGATGTCATGGGCGTGGTAAGGGATGTACAGCTGTGCTTGCAAGAACTCCTCACTGAAATGCCGCAGTTATCAGCTAGTCCGACACCCAGCATCCCTGGAGCGCCTTCGCCAAGAAATCATGTCTTTTACCACAACCGGGGAAAGGTTGACCAGAGCACACATCAACAAGATGACTTACCTTCGATGCGTCCTCAACGAGAGTAAGCGTTCATCAGTTCCTCATGTTCCTCACTTACGGTACCGAACTAACTCGTTCAGCCAATCGATTGTACACTCAAATCCCGGTAAACATTCGTATCTCTAGAGAGACGACTTATCTGCCAAAGGGTGGTGGCGAAAACGGCGAATCACCTTTACTAATTCCCAAGGGAACTGGTGTCGGCTTTTCCGCATATCACATGCATCGTAGCAAAGAAGTTTATGGCGAGGACGCAAATGAGTTTCGCCCAGAAAGGTGGGAGGGATCAGAGTTGCGGAATCTTGGATTTGCTTTCATGCCTTTCCATGGTGGACCAAGGTTATGCCTCGGAAGTGAGATTCCAACCTTTGGGGATGTCAACGTTGCTTCTAATGTTCATTTACAGAAGATTTTGCACTCACGGAGGCATCGTACGGCCTTATTCGTATCCTCCAAGAGTTTCCAAACCTCAGGATGGCGCCAGGCTCTTCGAAAGTAATGCCGGGCAGAGAGAAGCAGAATCTCACTATTGTTGTTTCAAGTGCTGAAGGGTGCAAGGTTCTGTTGCATTGAGCTGAGTTTCATTTTACCAGCTATGTAGTCGATTCAGGGGACTAATTAGCGTAGCAATTCAATGATCTGAGTGCGAGGTTGGATTATACATTTGAATGAAGGAATGAATGAATTTATTCTGCCCGGAGGGCTCGCGGCCACTAAGCGTCTACACAGGAGTTCATTTAGGACAGCCATCACCTCCCCTAGCTGGTTAAGGCCCTGGCTAGCCAGCACACAGCTCTGACTATCCAGCACACAAAATCTTAGTAAGTGTGGCTAGTAGAGGCGCAGCGCCGATACCACAAATTTTAGTGAATGCGAATTCCCCGCCCCTACAGCGCGCCCCCTAGTAGAGTAGAATTTGCATCCTCACCAACTTCGTCAAATTGAAGCTATTCGCGCCGCCTACCTCTTGTATCGCATCGTCAACGCCGTCAACGCTAATGGAGTCTCTTCTGCGCCAATACTTTTCCACCTTCCAAGAGGCTAAAGCTGATTGCAATGCAGTAGCAAAATCACAAGGCTATGCGGTTGTTATGGCCATGAAGAGGCCTAATGCCGCTGCCCCTACCCATATCTATATACGTTGCTTAAAGGGTCGAAGATATGTTGACGACAGCAATGAGGCTATCGCTAAACGCCGCAAAACAAGCACCCAGATGACCTAATCCCCCTTTCACCTAGTAATGAAGCTTGACCAGGCCAAGGCCTCCTAGCCAGTCTCATGCCCCTCAAATAGCGCGCATAACCACCCCTTTATCGAGCCAATAGCCTAAGCAAAGTATTAAAAATAGATTATCTTAAGATACTATAGTGAAATCATTTATCTATGTAGTTGGCTTATGGCTAGTTTTCATTACAGAGCAACTATTAGCATGTTCCTCTGAAGACCCTGAGCTAGCTGGCATCACAACGAAGCAAATACACAATGCCCTTGCTTGACATTGTTATTATGATCTTCCTAGCCATACGCTGCTCCAGTTTCTCTATGATAACCTCGAAAAATCTAACTTCTTTCTTTAGGACACTCATGATCTGTCTGTCATGCGCCGGAAGTGCTTAGCTAGGATAGACAGCTAAACGATTCTAAATCTTAGCTAGATTATATATCCTGCATTTAAGTATGAGGCTACATAGCTTTATAAAGTCACTGCACGTAGATCCCGGCCACCGCAACTTATCGGCCACCCAAAAAAATCGCGTCCGTTTTGACAACCATCAATTCAATCGCTATTTACTCACCGCCAGCTCGCACTACGATGCAGTCTTCATCAATTTCGGATACCTTCGAGTCATTTACATCGGGCTCTCCATTATCAGCTTTATTGACTGCCGATTGCGCTCGCCGTATCGCTTCAATGTTAGCGAACCTCGAATTAGGGCTGGTCTCAACCTTCTTTCTCTTCTTCGGCCTGACAGCCTCCAATTGCGTTTCCAATGCTTGGATTTGCAATTGAGCCTTTGCCAGAAGGCCATCCTTTTCGTCAAACCCCTTTGTTATCTTTTTGAACAGCAATTTCTTCGTAAGTACGTCGTCATCCAACTGGTTGAATTGGAGCACCTGGACCTTCAGGTCTTTGGGCCGCCTTGGAGTCGACCACGCAATCTGTGAAGACTCAGATTGCCAAGCATCGGTAGTAAAAGGGCTGCTTAATGCACTGGTGGCTTTTTTTTGCATCCTTCTTGCCCTTCTTGCTGTTCTCCAGCAGTAGAGGGCTCAGAAGTGGCTTCGCGACCGACACTGGCCACAGACCGGTCGCTTTCCAACCACTCTTGATATTTGACGCAGAGAGCGCTTGTTCGCGAGCTCTCTGATAGCAGATGAGAAAGTTTTGCTTTCCAATGGGGCTCGAATCGGTCAAGAGGCTGAGGAATCCGAGCTGTTTACGGTAGTAGTGCTTGAGAGGGGAGAAGACAGACAAATCGAGCGGTTGCAAGACATGAGAGGTATGGGGAGGCAGATGAATCAGATGAATCTTATGCTGATAGCATGGATACATGGAATACACCGTCTCGTGGCTTCCATGTCCGTCCAATACTAGCAGTCTTCGCTCGGTAGGGTCGGATGGCCGGGTCCTCGGGATGAACAGCTCTTCAAGCCACTCCGCCGCAGTGTGATCTGAAGTCCAGCCGTTTTTTTGTCGCAGTCAGTTGCCAGTCCCTGAAAATACTGAGATCTTGTAAACATCACTGCTGTTGAACCGATTTGCCCTTGAAAATGACGAAAGGAGGGAGGCAGGTGCCTGTGGCGGAGACGCACTAGATGAACGACGTCCACACCCGAGAACCTGGCATTTTTTTCTGAATAGACCGTCGCTCTGCATTGCCAACGATCAGACCATTCTCCCCTAGTCCCTCCATGATGCCTGCTTAATCCATGTTGTACCTGTTCTCGGGCTTAATAGCCTGAATCTCAGGAGGGAAGAATTTCTTAAACCAAGGCCGAATTACCTCAGTGGAAGCACCATTGACCTGCGTAGAATCTCTGTGATGGCACTTCTGGGTCCGAATTGCAGGATTCCTTCTTTAGAATTGTTGCATCCAGTGTTTTCCGAGTGGTACGTGGTCTCCTTTGACGACCAGCATGCGTTGCGCGAACTGCTTGATCTGCGAGTGGGTGTGGGAGGGAGGCCCAGAGCGTCCTGGATTAGAACCCATTGAGTAAGCTGGTTTTCTTGCGTCTGGGAAAGCCTCTGAAGAGGAGAAAATGCATCTTTTCTACATTCGCGGCCATGCAGGCGGTCGTAAAGAGTAGCCCTCGGAACACCCTATTGTTTGGGACAAACTTATCGTGGTTTATATTAGCAGAACCAACTAGGCATAGTCTAAGAAATAAAGTATAAGTCACTTAGTAATAAGTCTATAGTCTAGGACTTAAGACCATAACCAGGTATTAATATGATTAGAATTAGAAATAATTATGATAAGAATTATATTAAAGTTGTTAAGAGCTATTAAGCTATCTATTGAAAGGAGTAGAATGGGGTAGCTATACCTATTTATTTATCCTTCCTAGAATATTCAGTAAAGGTAACAATCTATTTTTAGATCGGTGGATCTTTGAGATGATCTAGTGAGCTGGATCAGTAGGAGGATCGTTCTATGATCCAAATGATCCGTCACGTGACTTGCGCGGTCCGATGTTCTTCCTTGGTGGGGGACCTTCCCCTTATGGCTATATGCCCGGTTGCGGTCATCCGCTAATAAAGAGCCTGATTATAACTAACACTTGGTCGGGTTGTAATAAATAACTTAATTAATAGATTTATACAAAGGATATCTTATAAGTAGAGGATGCTGCTTAGCTACCTACTATATAAGCAAAAAAGTTCAGATACTCTAGCGTAGTAGCAACACGTTACCCATTATAGGACAAATGCGCTTTAGTAGGCAGGCGTGATATCTGTAAGGCCAAGTACTCTTTAACCTTGGGGCACTCTGCATTAATTGCGTAGAACAAGTATGTTAATACCATGCCAGGCCGCAGGGCGATCGTTAAATATTCTCCTAGCCTCTTAGAGCCTCTCTAAAGAGCATTAAAGGACTTCATTGTCTCGTGGAGCCAACGTGCAACCCTTCTAGGCCAGGTTTGTTGGCCCGCCTCCCATATGTTCTGTTAGGTCCTTTAAAGGCCTCAAGAGGTTCAAAAAGTTACCCGGATCGATCCAATTCTGTAGGGTGAGAGTATCTCGTGAGATATCGTATTTGTCCCCCTCCGTAGTGGTAGTTCAGAAGAACAGCTCGATTGTGTGGCGGGGTTCTAGTGTCCGTTCAATCGTGGCGTATGCGGAATTCCGGGGGATGCCGCCGTCAGTCAACCAAGCTCTTCTCTGTCCTTCCGCGAGCTTACTTCAATTAGCAATCTACCCGGTCTAACATCTCTCTCACTAGCGGAAGGCAGCTCGCCAAAGTGTATGAAAAGCTCCGAGAGGTTTGTTCCATCAGTCATAAGTACCAATCCTCGAGAGGCGCCCTCAATCAACTTGCTTCTCGCACCCGATTCGGTTTAATAACTCCTTCCGGTCACCGCCCCTACCAAGGCTCACACCAGACGAGCCTGCAATTCTCCTGGCACTAACCCTGGGCTTCCGCCTTTGGAGGTCAGTAGCCTCGACACGGTCTTCGAGCGGTTGAACTCCCCGGTGATTCATAATATCGGTACACTCCGGATCAATCTCCTCTTCCAGGTCTTCGCCCTCGTCCTCACTCCGTATATCATCAGCACCGATGCCCTTAATAACACGGATGGCGACTTGGACAATCATGAAGAACCAAATAATGGTAAGGGCCTGGAGAAAACCTAAAGCACCAAGGAATCCCCACCGCACATTGTCGCTGTAGCAAATGGTGCCTGCTGGCTTCCAGAATGGTTCAAGCATGTGAGACCAGCCGTGATTGGGTAGCGGGGTCGGCCCAATCGGATCATCCTGGGGGCCGTGGTAGCAACCGATGGGGATGATTTCAGCCATGTGAGTCCAGATACTCCACATGGTTATGATATAAAGGACGTGACGGGCGACGAACCACGACAGCATGAAGAAACCGAACACGATGTCGCGCAGTGTAGAATATCCAAGGTATTTTAAACACTTGGCGAGCTAAGCGATGTCAGAGAGCTATCGCAAAAGAATAAGTAAGGGGTTGGAAGGCTCACTGGGAAGAAAATATCGACCACATCCATCAAGACCAAGATCAAATTGGCGACACGAGTTAGGTGCATGGCGTAAGAGGCAGAAATGAGTACGACCGTCACAATGTGATGGGCCAGCATCTGCCAGTGGTCTTTACGCCGCTCCTCGATGTTGATGACGATGATCTGCTGCAGCCAGAAAGCCCACTGACCCAATATATATGCCTTTGTAACATGAGAGAGTCCTCTCGTAGGCCAGTCCGTGAACATCTCCCTCAGGTTCAGGAAGTATTTTGAGGTGCAGTAAATGTACTAGAGATGGCCAGTTAGTTGTTCAGTGGATTGGAAGAGCAGCATAGAGCATGAGCAACGTACCAAGCCAAGGGTCCAAAAGACTGAATAGTAGCACAGGAGCCATGATTGTTCGGAGAATCTTGCAACATCCTTCCGCTTAGATATGCCCCACCGTCTAGCTAGTGGTGCCAGAATATACTTCATGAAACAGGCGCGGACACCGGTGAAGAGGACAACGCAGAAGCCGAGGAAGAAAAAATCATCGCCACCAGCGGCGTACTTTCCCGTAGTTGAGTTATAGTACGACGACAAAAAGAATTTGGACGTGTAATATCGGGCCTTAGGCACGCACAAGTGCGTGAGGAAGAGAAGGGCGACGAGGTTGAACGATATGGCTGTATATCAATTGCAGGTATCAGCTCTTCTGGCTTTTAATGTTTTAACGGACCAAGCACTGCTACAAGGATCGTTGTCCCCGCAGCGTAAAGCTTAGATTTCCGTTGGGGACGGAGGGGGCAGCGAGCTATTTTTGCCAGCGAAGCACACTCGAAGGGTTCAAATAGGCGAAGAGGGAGATCAGGCGCAGGAAGCCACGTACCGATTTGAATATCGAGCAACCAATTGGCGAAGTTCCTCAAGGGGTTGTTGCCTTTCCGCTCGACTCTCCGGATGGCAGCATGATCATGCGACTTCACGCGCGAACTCGAGGGGCTCTTCAACGTGGCGTTTTCTGTTTTATGCTCCGTTGCCAGCGTAACTCGTGTTGTTGGTACCAGTGGCGTCACCGTCGCAGGTGCGCCTTCGGAAACGTCATGCTTGGTGTTAGATCCGCTCATGATGAGACTCGTAAAGGCAGTCGAGCGCCTAATGGAATGCTCGGAGGGTTGTTCAAACTTTGCGGCTCTCGTGTCGTTTGCGGGCTTCTGTCCACCTGCCGTAGGTTTGCAAGTTTGCGACGGTCGAATTCCCTCGGCGACAAGAAAGCCCCTTTTGTGGCGACGAGTGAAACAACAAATCAGGGCGGGGTTCTTCGGGCTTCTACCAATAAGGACAGGCGGGCTCCCCTGTAATGTTGAGGGGAAAAGGATATTCCGCACATGCCCCCATGAGTGGTACCTCCCAACACATTTCTGACCAAGCCTACAATTACCACCTTGTCCGCACAAACTGCCCAGCCATTAAGCATTTTAGCTTCTCTCCAACAGCGAGCATGCTGCCCTCTGTGTTGACCGACTTGAATTTCTCTCCTGGAGCATTGACATGGACGGGAGTCGTCATTGCGATAACCGTGTCTATCTGGTGCGTGTCCTCTTATCAAGCTCGAAAGCCGGCACAACGGCAGATACATTGTAAGTCTGAAGGTTCCGTCATCATCCCGTCTCTTGGCTTGATCAGCACGACTGCGCGTGGACTGTGTCAGCCGAGTTGAACCACTAGCCATATCCGTTTGACGGCTACGCTCAGCCCGCCAGTGCTGCTACCTTCGCTTATACTGTGGTTATTGCAGCTCCGTCCCAAGCGGCCGATCTACCAAAAGCACCGTCCAGGCCAAGAACACAATCCGAGAAGCTCTCGATTCTTGATCTGAATGTTCGATAAACTCTCGATGTTACCGTATGCAAACGGCTCAGACCTTCGAGACAATTTGGCACAGGCCCATGGCCTGCCAAGGTAATCAGAACGAAGTCCCTTTCAGGGGAGAGCAGTGACGGCCAAGGAAAAAAGAACAGGGCACAGGGATATAATCGTGGATTAAGGCTCAGGTTGGCTGCCTGTTCCTACCCCAGGCAAGCAGTGCTGGTGGGATACGATACACTCGCTGCATGCGGCAGTCGTTGACTTGACGGAAACCCTCACGTATCATCCCAAAGAATCACATGTCGGGCATGATCAACTCCGCCGTCTGCACCGGGGACAAGACCGCCAAGGACGTCATGAACTACTGCTACTCCAGGATCAAGGGCAAGAGTGGGATCTTACGAAAGATGTGCAACTCGACCAGGCCCACCAACACGATGAGGTGGTTGAGTCGCCGATGAGGCCGGATCCGAACGACGAGATGTGCAACCAGCTGGGCTACGGGCGTCTCGGTCACCTTTCTGCTCTTCTTCTTCTTCCTGTCCTTCTTGCACATCACGCTCTGGGTCGTGAACCCCCACGGGTCGTTGACCTCGCACTCGGGTCGGCACTCGGTCGCGGTCTCGACCTCGGTCTCGGGTGTGGACTTGGGCTCGACCACGGGCCTGGGGGTGGCCCCGGTGCTGTTCAGGATGGCGCTCGTGCCCGACCTCTTGACCCCGACGATGGCCGTGGACCTGCCCTTCAGCGTGGTGGCCTCCTTCATCAGCCCCATGTACACGTACTTCCTCGCCTCCTGGGTGGTGACTTCGTTCTTCAACAACCCCATCTTCGCGCACACATAGACGATCTCGAACGCGCTCAGGGACCCGTCCAGCCTGCCGCTCGGGAGAACCGTCATGAGCATGTCCCCGAACACCTTTAGGTCGACGGCCGACACGATGGTTGTGAACGAGTCTGCGTTTATACTCTCGATCGTGTACTCGTAGTTGATGATCGTGTTGTTCTCATGCTCGATCCACATCGGCTTCGTGTTAGAGTTCAGGACCAGCACGATGCTCCCGTCCATGCACACTAACTTGATCGCGCAGTTGTTGTTGCCCATGGCGGCCATCGTGTAGATGTGGATGTGCTGCTACGAATGCGTGCCCTGGCCTCATGATGCTGGTGATGAGTGTAGTATGCTTCTATTTATAGATAAGTGCCCCGCCATGTAGGACCCCTGTGTGGGCGAGGATGGGAGACTTTGCCTCACTGTGCGGGGTTTCGATGCTGCTTGTGCTTTGCTGGCGAATCCAGCCTTGCAGGATCACATGTGTGTCCGACGGTGATCTTCGCGATGAATCCAAATGCGGTGTCGTTATTGTGCATCATGGCATGTGCTCCAGAAGTCGTTTTATTCAAAATTAGCTACAATTGGCGAAAGGCTCAAGAGTCTGTAGTGTGATCACTTTGGAGGGAAACAGCTACATTTGGCGAAAAGGCTCGAGCGTCTGCAGTGTGGTGTAACGTCAGAAAAAGGTGGTTGCTTTTCGTGGCCAAATATGGCTGATTTGCGGGTATTGAGTCATACATAGCCTGGCAGAAAAGTTGGTAGTCCGCCATCCCCCACGAATTTTCATCTGAGCTCGTCCCACGTTCCTCGCGCGACTCACAGTATAAGTAATTCCTTCGCACAGAGTCATTCTGTAGTTGCCCTACCCCCAAGTCTACAACATCATGAGTAAGCAAGCTTCTAATCACGTATCAGTCCACGTGACTTTTCATATGCATTACTCAAGGGCGCCACTGCTAGAAGTCTTCTCGATCCCGGCTCGACTCGGAAGCATACGCTCCGGTCTCTCCGAGGCTGTTGCTTCCGAAGGTCAATTTTTTGAGCTTTTAAGCCCCGCATCCCACTTGTTGTATCTGAAGGCCAATTTTCTGGAAGCTTCTAAGCCCCGCATCTCACCTCATGATCACCCCACAACCCCACGAGCCTATGACTCGCAGTGTTGAGCCGAGGAATCTCAAAATCCGTTGACTTTGTGTCGTTTCTCCTTCTGCGACAGACATAAACAGTACTGTAAGGTATCATTACTAGCAAACGTTGACATAGAACTAGAACCAGAACTATGTAACAAGAGTCCAGGCTCTTCGCCCGAATTGCAGACGCGGGCGATCGACCGGCGGCTGGCATGAAGAAATAGCAACGGTGACTTGGACGGTACCCGCTTGGGCTCTCAAGATGATTCGACGATTTGAAGAATTCGTTCGTTGTGCAGATCAGGAAGCGCAGTTCCGCTTGCATCAATATCCAGCCTGCGCGAGGGAAAGTTCTTCAGATAAGAAGAGAGGCCCGTGTTGAGAAGGCGGATAAAGCGGTGGTGCTTGGAACAGTCAATGGCGGCATTTCAGTTGGACGTTTAGTATCTAGGATCAATATACAAACTCCAGGGTGGCGAGGTTGGCCAAGGGGCCTTTGACCAGGCGATACAGGGGGCCACCTAGTGTCCATTATCGACACTTGTAAAAGTCAGGCAGCGCTCTCCGCGTCTGCCGTGATCTTCTGGAGTGATTATGCAGCTGAGCCATCCCTGTGGAAGAAAAAGGGGAGGGAACAGCCCTGGTACTTTCGTATACTTACGCCGCAGACCTCAAACTACCGCTGTTCTACTGTATTCATTAACAGGTACGGAGGCGCGTGGCTAGGCGTGTTTCGTCAGCAGTGTGTTTATAGTGTGTTTTTACGTCCTTTCGTCCTAACCGGTTAGGTAGGCAGCCCACAAACCAGCTGGCACGCTTGCTTGCCTAGAATCTTCGAAGCTAATCGATTGCATCCCGGTCAACTTCCCAGACTCTCCACGACAAAAGTATCCCAGCCCATCGCCAGAGACAAGCCATCTAGAGATCACTGATGGCATCATCGTAGGCGGCTGACGGGCTTGTAAAGCTGGCCTGGATCTCCTGCGGGGGTTCCAAAGCTTATCCTTTCATCTTTGTCCAGGGGAAAGAGTATCTTCCTAATCCTGAGACAGAGCGGCTTGACAACATCCAGCGACTCAGGAAATCCACTCATAATCTCCTCCCGGGCACAGCCGGTTCGCAAGTCAAGACCAGTTTGCTCCTTAAGCCTCCTTCAACGGCCAACTTGGAGATTCCATCCTCGATGGCCACCTGCAAGATTCCGTCCTCTTAGTAGACCGACACGCGCGTCCGTCCTCTCGAGCCATATAGAAAGTGTCGTAACTGCGGTCCGCCCACCCAGTCTTCCGTCGCTTCCATTATATGCTGCGCTCCGCAGATTGTCAGATCTGTTTCGCGCTGCCTTGCAAGATCTCCCTGGCAAGGCCGACCGTGTCTCGCAGAAGTTCGTCCATTTGCATCCTGTCTGTACCCGGAACAGCCAAGCGACGCAGTGTCGTCCCTCCTACTAACCAAGGTGCTTCGTCGTTCTCTGTGCGGTTGCAAGTGCGCCGGTGCTTGTCAATCGTTTCGCTGTGACTGTTCCACTTCTTGTCGTTTACCCAGCGCGGCCTTGTTTCCATTCCAACAGAGCAGCCCAAAGCACCCCAAGGGTGTCCTATTCCACAACCCATATGTCCATCGTTTGTAGGCTCGATTTCGCGGTCGTGGGTCGGATGGTTTTTAAAGTGTTCCCCTGTGGCTTGTGGGCGGTAGGGCTCGCGAGCCCTACACGCAACCGTAGCCCATACCAGCGGACAAATGCTGGATGGTGTTGACTCTTCTTGGCTCTGCGAATGTCCCCAGGCAAAAAGCATTCCCAGGTTCCCAGCCAGCACCGCGTGGAGGTGAGAGTCGTCGCTGGCCTATGGAGTCCGACATGGGTGCAAATTGAACCCGTGTCGGCTCATCCACGGGTAATAATTACAGCACTAGTACCATTTAGGAGTAGTCTCTTGGTATAAATAAATATGATGCAGTGCCAACAGTCAACTGTGAGCATCCTCTCTCGTAATATGGATTCCTCCGCCCTACCAGACCCTCCCGGCTCTGTCAACGAAGCCGAGGTCGAAAGCTTTCTGTTGCCGGCTGATCAGGCTGAGCTGATCGAGACATTTCGCAAAGATGTCCGCCTCTGCGAGTCCGACGCGGGAAAGTTCCGGCTGTGCTCACAGATGCGCAACTGGCTTCTTGTTCAGCACACGCAGGTGGAGTTGCTGATCGCTCTCTTCGAGCGTGTTATGCTGGCCGAGTGCCCCGACTACAGGAGTTACAAGAAAAAGAAAGCGAAACCCGAGAAGACGCAGTTTGATGCGGAAGAGTGGGATCGCTTCATCGGGGTTGCCGCGAGCGGATCAGACATGATCACGAAGTGCCTCCCGCATCTGAAGGCCGTCAGCTTTCGCTGGGGTCGGGATAGACTCCAACACTACAACTGGCCTTCCAGAGGATGGAAATTCTGCAAGACGCTGGGGGCGGTCGCGAACAAGATGGGATGGCCTGAGTTCGTAATCAAGGGAAACCAGCTGTTACTGCGAAGAGCGCAGATGGACGGCAAATTTAGGAGCCACCGCATTCGAGACTCTCCTGATCCACTCAACCTGGTCGAGCTACGGAATCTCGTCAAATGGACAGGCGAGGTTCCGTACACCAAGGACAAGGACCCCCAGAACGTCTCCCTTCCGTTCAGAGAGATTTTCGTCGAAGACCTGCCCACCGGCTATGGTTTCGACGAGCACGGCCTCATGATCCGGCGCCCATCTGAACCTTTAATGGGAGCCGTGTCGGAAGATTCTCGTCTCGACACTACCGTCGAGAAGATTACTGATTCAACCCTGGCAGAGGAAAATGTTGGGTCATCTATCACTGTAGGCGAGAAGATCGAGGATGTTAACTCAGGTCATTCCCCATTGTCGACGCCTCTGAGCTCGCCGCCAGGTTCTCCCGCCGCTTTGTCCTCTGCTACTCAAGTCTGGTCCGGGATCGCCGCAGTCGGTCCGGACGACATATCTCCACGTGGTGATAGCGATGCCGAAGACCCCCGGCTACCTGAAAATCAATTACCCAGGCAGATTCTTCGCTCACGAGGGAAACAAAGCGAGGATGGCAGAACATCCGCAGATGGTACCGAAAATGTTAATCAACACGCTACGAATGGTCCGGCGGCCGTGAGGCTCCGCCCACGCCGAAATTACCACGAAACGCCGCTGAGAAATTTCCGACCAGTCAACCGCCAGCCCAACACTGCGGGTCGGTATACGAAGCGGTGTTGTCCGTCCGAAATACCGCCCACGCTCCTCACCCTTCTGGACAAGTTCGATGGCCGTGCGATCGGGCTGATGCTATCCACATTCAACGTTCCCTTTCAGACCATGTGTTACGCACATCTTCAGAAGTTCGCACAGGCAGTGACCAACACGGAGCATTTCGAGTCGCCTCGGAAAGCCGAGAAGGACCTCTACATAAATGACTATGATGGAGGCGCAACTCCCCGACGGCGACGTGCTTCACTCCCCGACATCATCGACAGTCCCCCCCCGAAAAGGTTCCGGCTTGGTGATCCAGATACGTCCATTCATGGACCTCTGCCTGATTTTCGGCAAGATAGGCTTCTGAAGTACGATCCAATTCGTGATGAGGCCTATCGCCAGAGGGTGCTTACGGAACTGGCGTCCACCGAGCACAAGCCGAACTCTTGGGGTAAACGAACGGATGAGTTGGTCTCCCGGCTCTTAGGCAAGAGTAGGCCGCCGACGGACGAAGAGGCGTACTTCTTACGTGGAGAGGAAGCAGCCCAAAAGGTCGAGCTTGGGTTCGTCGACGCACCTCTTTTTACGCAGGATCAGCAGCGGTTTCGATGGCGGGGGGAGGATCGCCCCATTTCGCAACTCTTCCGTCACATGGAAGATCTCGGTCTAAATCGGACCGTGTCCGTTCAGATACCCTCTCGCCATTTTCTAGAGGAGTCCTCCAAGAGTAAAACGCTTCGAGAAGTCCGGGAGGTTCCTCAAACAAAGGCCGACGGACAACCCCTGGAACCTTCTTGATCTCCAGAGCCCGTTGCCTCCGACTCTACCATCTTTCTTGGAAGGAGACAATTGCCAGCTTCTCCTCCGAGTGCGTGATGCCATTCTGATGGGCAGCAGCGCCCAAAGGATAGCAGCGTCTGGAAAAGATTGGGCGACATGGCGCAACGTCATAGAATGGGCACTCCTGGCGGAAGGAGGGCATAGTACGGCGCCGCATATGGATAGCCATGGTTTTTCAACCTGGATTACGGCGCAAGAAGGGCAGATCGGCTTCGGATGGTTGTCCCGCCCAAGTGAACAGGACGAAGACGCATGGATGTCTACTCCACACGGTTACACTGGGGGCCAATGGAGACACGTCGTGCTCTCGCCAGGGCAAACGGTGTTCTTCCCATCCGGCACGATCCATTTTGTTTTTAGGGTGCGAGGAGTACAAACATTTGCGCTGGGTGGTCACATCCTTCAGTGGTCTGGCCTTGAACGATGGCTTCATGTGGTCATCAGTCAAACGAAGAACCTCGAAATTACGAATGAGGACATGGTGTCGAGTGCGCCGGTGTATGTTCATGCGGTTAAGACACTAATTTCCAATAGGGTGCACGCTGGCAGGGAGGAGGAGTTGGGCGGTCGCAATGCAGTTAACAGATTCTTCACCTTAGTGAAGGTAGAGAGCTATCATATTTTCCCCATATTGATGATCGCTAGGCTGATGCTGGCCAGGAATTCGACAGTACTGTCGCGAAAAGCTCGCGTACCACGAAATGAACATGGCATCTTCGCCTTCGGCGCAGACCGCAATTCCCGCCGACAGCAGTCAGGTCGAGCCTTGGGCGAGGCATTATTGTTTCCTGGTGTTCTTACCCCGGAATAGTTGCTTGGTAGGTAGAATGGTGAATTGGGCTTTTGTTGACTTAAAGCCGTCGAAGCTATGCTGTAATATTTTCTTGATAACTTTAACCCCCGCTGATTGCGTCCCTGATTCCACGCGGGAGTCACTATTCGCGCCAAATTAGTGATGGATTCGAACCTTCTAGGTGACAGCGTCACCTATGCTGCCTGAGTGGCGACATCACTATCCCGACTACACCTTGACGGCCCGATGCGGAAGAGCGAAGTAGCGTCCGCCCACAGACGACCAGCCTCTGATGATGACATGAACAGCGAGACCGAGTCCGGCTTGGGATTTGCGAACACTCCGCCAAGTTCACTTGCGCAGGAATCGGCTGGAAACTTATTCGCCTTGCCTCACCGCGGCGCTCTGGCCCTTTCGGCCGTTGGAGAACTTCGCGACGAACTTACAGCACATGGGCCAAGCCATCGACATCCAAATCGCGAGAATTTGAACTCGATCTCGAGCGCACTGAACCACCAGCGCGCTCTCTACGCGGCAGGCGCATATCAGGAGCCAGGGTCGCTGCAGCAATGCTTGAGTTCAAGGGACGACTTGGACGAGCCACCATCACCTCGCCCGCTTCTTGCACCTTCTCCTGAGCCAGCTTCGTCGTCTGGGGCGAAGAGGACCGTCGGAGACATGTCACAAAGCCCTGCAGAGCGTCGGAGATCCGTGTATGACTGGCAGGTGGCAACTCGGCCTAACTCTCCAAGTAAGCTGGCGTGGTGGCAGAACCACAACAAAACCCAACTGGACGACAGGGGTGCCGCTCACAGCATGGGGACAAATGGTCCAACTGAAGTGAGTTGTGCGTCGCTCTTCCTGTCCTGTCTTACCGCTAACATAGGCCAACTGCAGTGTGCATGCTCTTGCCACAGGAACGGTTCCTTGTGTGGTGATGGAACTAACAACAGATGGCATCATTTTACAGTGGACAAGACGGCATTTCAAATGATGCGATAGACGGATGGCTTGGTAGAGTGATGATGCTCGAAACCACGTGGTTTGCGATTCGTTACTTTGGCTCGCTGGGTCCGTACTGGTTGTCGCTGGAGACACTCCTGGGGAAGTTGGCAATCACGGCAGGAGATTGTGTTTTTTTGGTCGCGGGACGCTTGTCTTGGGCGGGGGCATCGGTGACGTACGTTGTAGGCCGGTTCGCGCTAGATGGCTGGCAGCTATCATGTAATAGAAAGGGAGGCGCCTTGATCTAGAGCCCCGACTACACTGGGAGCTGCAGAGGCAGTTGAGAGTCGCCATATAGTGCCTACAGACCTTTCCTGGCCCAGCGGTGCAGCGCCAACAGTGTTGTCCAAGGGGGGCTCGGCCGGAGTGGACAAGCCTTCGAAAGGCTGGTTAGTCGCATCGGCCGCGCTACAGTTCGTGTTGAAGTCAGGAGATCCGTCCCCCATGGTGTCAAAAGTTGGCTCCTGGAAAGAGAATGACATCAGGCTGGTGACGGACTCACGGAGGCCACTGGGCCGAGACGGCGAAGGCAACGTCTGATGCAACTCCTGCTGGTGACGAAGCAGTAGATCATGGCGAGCGAAGCATCGCGCACATTCGTGGCGCTGGAATGGTTTGGCTCCGGTGTGCAAGCGCCCTTGCCGTTCTTGATGCTCCACGCGGCCAAACGAGCGATGGCAAACCGGGCAGATGTATGGTCGCGGCTTGTCAGTTTTGGGGAAGGACTAGAGCTGTCCATGCTTAGCCCATTGATACTGCCAGGCAATTGCGAACGAGACGCCGCTGTAATATGACGGCGCCCTCGAATGAAGCAAGCGTCGATGAAAGAGCGACCGCAACGCGGGCCATGGCATAAGGCGCTGGAGAGCCCTGTTTTGAGTTTTGGTACATTCATCATTCAATGCCCACGATCCAGTGATGAGAATTACTGGGGAGTCTCGCATCCCAGAATCGACTATGCTGCGAGAGCTGCCCAGTTTAGTGGCGCTTATTGGTATTGAAATGAATAGGTGCTCTCGTGTGTGCAGTGGTCATATCAGTCGTCAAGTTGGAAAGATTCAACAACTTGACAAGGCCGCTGTGACACTCGGTAAATCTACCAGTTGGTAGCAATACTCTTAGCGCATTCTATAGTCATGACGGAACGTGGTGATGAAAGAGGGAAATCGGGTGGAAGATTTTAGGGGGGGCACGGGCGTTTTATATAGGCACCCGCCGGCGAACGTTGTGCTGACCCAACTCCAGGGGTGTGTCGGCACAACCCTGAACAGTAGTAATTGTCACATAAAGCATGCGGTTCCCATAAGTTCGTGAGGTGAAGTATTTACATCGGACGAATATGATACAGCTATATGACTCGAGCTCACCCTCTTGGAGGCCTCTCTCTTCTACACACGCAACTATAAGAGCAGCAGGTCGCTTCCACTAGAATAGAGAATACAAGAACGTCCAGTCCTCTGAGTCTCCACCTACCTTTGCATCCGTTGTGTGCGATAGTAATGAGAGGCGTGGTGATGGAAGGAAATTCGTGAAGGGGTTGGGGGCGCCTCGGGCGACAAATCCGTTCGTCAGCCACACCATGTCTACTACCACAGACGGATCCAAGTTCTATTGTTTGCAGCGTGGAAATATTATCCTCCACGAGGAACAGTTAATTGCGTAGCTTGAATCAGTCAAAGGGGTTCTCGGCTGCACAAGCAGCTATGGAAGTAGGATTAACTAACAGTCGAGGGAGTCGGAATGAAGCTCAAAACACCCCTTTCGTTCGGTGCCATATTGATGCTCTCTGCACTACTGGTACGGTACCTCCTGGAACACTTTTGCCCTCGTAGCCCTTTTACGTTCGCACATTAATACAGTCCTCATGATTCTCCTTCTTACCGAAACTTAATACGGCAGAAGGCGTTGATGTGGGAGGCCGCTTACGGGAGCTTCGGCGTACGCGTTTCGGTGGAGACTCTAGCTCCTCGTCATCAGAGATGGTCTCCCATTTGACCGCCGCCTCCGTAAGCTAGGCTTCTTCTGCAACCAGCCTGCCGCACAACTGTCTGCTTGCCCGGTCCAAGGGTATTCGCCTTGTTATTGGACTTTCTGCCTGTGCCGGTCTTGCCGGCCGCTACCCGACCTCCATTGCATTCTCGGTCTGATCGCTCGTAACGCCCTCAACGCTCTACACGCAGCATTTCGATTTGATATTAGAATCTGAGAGGGTTTTGACCCTGGAGCGCTGAGTTTTGTACACTGACGAGATATTGCTCGATGAGAGACAGGCTATACCAATTTTCGACTCGTGCCTGACCTTGCCCTCCCTGAACTGTAGACCAGCAGTTCAACGTCATCGCCTTATCAACATGAATTTCGCCTGTGATTAGGTTTACCCAAGATTCGTTTCGAATGCCTTTGATGCGACCATCAATCTGCCACGTCTGGGCGCCGACCGCCGAGCGTATGAACATGGACGGTCGCCCAGCGATTGCGTTGTTGGGGTCCCAGACGAAATACATGCATTTCCAGCCGACCGCAATGATGAGAAATATCGTTCGGTTTGGATGTGCTGTCTGCAGCCGTGTCACCGACTCGCCCAGGACCCTTTTCCATCCGGAGGGGCTATCCTCGTTGGCGGCTTTGCATTCTATCCAGAGAAAATCTCTTGAAGAAAATTGTGGCAGCTGATGCTGTGATATTTGACCCGCAGTCAGCTTGATGACGATGAGATCCGGCTTAGTCGAGGAAAGAGAGCTCGCGAAACCCCGATATGCTTCTCGATCGATAGCCCATCGCGGATCTGTTGGTGTTGGGGCTTCCTGAGGAAAGTACATGTAGCAGATTGCCGCCCAAGCATGCCAGACCACGTCTTCGTAGTTGTAACCAGATCCGTGTCTGTACACTTCAACGATTTTTGCGTAAGCTGTCGTATTTGGGTCCCAGAAATGCCGAAGGCCGGGAATACCAAAGGCTTGTAGGTTCTGCTGTGCTTGCTGAGACTGCCTAAGATTCGAAACTTAGCAACAAGTATTGAAACGGTGTGGGGAGGAGAATCGAACATACGCTGCCATTTTGGTTGTCTAAAAGGGGATTGTGACTATTGGGGAGCAAGTGAGTCCAGGGAATTTATAATCAGAACAGCGCTTTTGATATAAACCCACATTCGTTATTACTTAGAGCCTCATAGGAACGGCATGACATTAGATATTAATAGAAAGGGCTCGGCGGTCACTTTGGCGCTTCGGCCACGATGCTACCGGGGGAGGCCGTCGTCGTAACGCGAACCCCGCTTCCGCCCCTGAGTACGTAACCAATGCAACAAGTAAATCGCTCTATGGGGTTCTGTCCAATCAAAAGTCCGTACCACGACATTGTATCTACTTATCATTGGCCAGGTTGCCGCAAGGTGGGCAGGAAGGAGTGGTTCTCGCTTCAATGCATGCAGCCTTAGCAGTGCCTCACAGTGACGGTAGGAATAGCGCTCTCTATTGGCTGATGTGTTCTAGTGGCGGGGTTACTTGCTTCAGTCGGGCACGCCGGTGGCGTGATTACTGTATTAACCCGCACGGTGTTTTGGCGTCCAATGACCAGCGCTAATGCATAAAACATCTAAAGGAGCCGCCCGCCCACCCCAACCTAATTTTTATTTCCCCACCCATTCGTCGTTTTCCAGTTTCCTTCCACCGCATGGGCAAACTGTTTCCTCTCAGCAGATAACTGCAACATATCAGCTATGTTTCAAGACAGCAACGGCGTGTGGTGGAGTGACGATCGAACACACTACAACACTGGGTCCGGATGGGTTCAAAATAACAGCGTTAGTAGCACTACAACTACAACACAACAGATTCCAACAGCTGCGCGATATGGATCAAACCAACACGGCGTCAGTCCCGAATCGCATCCCTCAGCAAGCTCAGGTATTCAGCTTGGATCCCCTGAAGCTCGACCCTTGGAAGCTACCATGTCCGCCTTGTTCGGACAGTCCTCTCCAACAGCTTATCAACAGCCTCAGCCGCCCAACGGGCTCTTTGGAATGGACAGGCAGACACCGGGCATGCCGCCCGTTCCACAAACCTCCCTTGACCCGGCATTTCGAGATGCGGCCAGAAGGGATCGGTTTATTGCAGCTTTTGTTTCTGCCCACGACAAGTCAAATCGAGGAGCCCAATAACGTCTTGCGCGTGGCGTCCTCGACCGCGGCTGGGTGGTGTCCGACTCCTCTCATGTTGTCTGGGCTGGAAGTTGCCCTCAAAAACAGACTGGTTCAGGAAGAAAATAGCTCCTGTTTTGGTGAGGACCCGAGGCTATCTCGAAGGAGACGAGCACCATAAGACGATGAGGAAGAGAGATGAAGTCTCGCTCGCCCACAGGGGAAGCCCATGAAGGGCAAAGGTCCAGAATTCAAAACAAACCAAGACTCGTCTACTCCCCAGACGCCAAGAGGCAAAGGAGGAAGACATTTGAAAACGCGTGGACATAAATTGAGGTGAGGTAAGCGCTGTAAGGCATTACTTACGTCCACGTGTCATGGTATTTCATGAGTGCGTGCAGCTCACGACGGGGGTCCTTGGAGTTCTGTCTCGCGACATCTAGGGCTGATTTTTCGTTATGTCCGTTCTTTGACGTTTCTAGGAGTACTGCAATGTCTTGGTTCTCAATACTGTCACGGGCTGGGTCCATCAATACTAAGGCCCGCAGCCTCGAGCTCCTCCTTTCCCCTCAGCTTTAGATAGACAACACACAGGCACCTGCTTGTTGAAGAAACTCCGGGCCAGCCTTTCACAAATACTACATGCTCTTGATCACCTGTATCTGATTATGCTCGGATCCTGTTCGGACGCGGCTCCACGCGCTGAGCACGGGCCTGCAGCTCTCTCGTTACTCCTTCCGTCTTCCCCGAGGCGACGCAGCTTTTCTATGCCGGGTACACGACGAATACACGGCGGCTCCGATGTCATACCGTCGAGTGCAGGACGGAGCAGCCACTAGCAGCTCGTTCCCTGGATGTGAGAAAGGGAAGGGGGGTCAGTCCTCCAATGGCCTCAGGACGCCAGGCGGCCGTCGGCCAGGGTGCGGCCCAGCCGGTGCAGCGGGCTGATCGTGTATGCAAAAGGCGTGTCAACGGATGATCACTGTCCCCGCCGGGGCTGCCTGCAGGCCATCGTCAGAGCCACGGAAGCGAGTGCATGGACAAAAGAATTCCTCAGCTGCTTGGCCTGCAGACTGGCCACTTGCAGCGCGTCGTAGTGTGTCATAACCTAATTGGCCCGACTTCATGCTGTTGGTTCAAAGTCAGGTCTCATGATCCCGATAGCTGCAGGAAGCAGCCCAAAAGGTCGAGCTTGGGTTCGTCGACGCACCTCTTTTTACGCAGGATCAGCAGCGGTTTCGATGGCGGGGGGAGGATCGCCCCATTTCGCAACTCTTCCGTCACATGGAAGATCTCGGTCTAAATCGGACCGTGTCCGTTCAGATACCCTCTCGCCATTTTCTAGAGGAGTCCTCCAAGAGTAAAACGCTTCGAGAAGTCCGGGAGAGGTTCCTCAAACAAAGGCCGACGGACAACCCCTGGAACCTTCTTGATCTCCAGAGCCCGTTGCCTCCGACTCTACCATCTTTCTTGGAAGGAGACAATTGCCAGCTTCTCCTCCGAGTGCGTGATGCCATTCTGATGGGCAGCAGCGCCCAAGGATAGCAGCGTCTGGAAAGATTGGGCGACATGGCGCAACGTCATAGAATGGGCACTCCTGGCGGAAGGAGGGCATAGTACGGCGCCGCATATGGATAGCCATGGTTTTTCAACCTGGATTACGGCGCAAGAAGGGCAGATCGGCTTCGGATGGTTGTCCCGCCCAAGTGAACAGGACGAAGACGCATGGATGTCTACTCCACACGGTTACACTGGGGGCCAATGGAGACACGTCGTGCTCTCGCCAGGGCAAACGGTGTTCTTCCCATCCGGCACGATCCATTTTGTTTTTAGGTGCGAGGAGTACAAACATTTGCGCTGGGTGGTCACATCCTTCAGTGGTCTGGCCTTGAACGATGGCTTCATGTGGTCATCAGTCAAACGAAGAACCTCGAAATTACGAATGAGGACATGGTGTCGAGTGCGCCGGTGTATGTTCATGCGGTTAAGACACTAATTTCCAATAGGGTGCACGCTGGCAGGAGGAGGAGTTGGGCGGTCGCAATGCAGTTAACAGATTCTTCACCTTAGTGAAGGTAGAGAGCTATCATATTTTCCCCATATTGATGATCGCTAGGCTGATGCTGGCCAGGAATTCGACAGTACTGTCGCGAAAAGCTCGCGTACCACGAAATGAACATGGCATCTTCGCCTTCGGCGCAGACCGCAATTCCCGCCGACAGCAGTCAGGTCGAGCCTTGGGCGAGGCATTATTGTTTCCTGGTGTTCTTACCCCGGAATAGTTGCTTGGTAGGTAGAATGGTGAATTGGGCTTTGTTGACTTAAAGCCGTCGAAGCTATGCTGTAATATTTTCTTGATAACTTTAACCCCCGCTGATTGCGTCCCTGATTCCACGCGGGAGTCACTATTCGCGCCAAATTAGTGATGGATTCGAACCTTCTAGGTGACAGCGTCACCTATGCTGCCTGAGTGGCGACATCACTATCCCGACTACACCTTGACGGCCCGATGCGGAAGAGCGAAGTAGCGTCCGCCCACAGACGACCAGCCTCTGATGATGACATGAACAGCGAGACCGAGTCCGGCTTGGGATTTGCGAACACTCCGCCAAGTTCACTTGCGCAGGAATCGGCTGGAAACTTATTCGCCTTGCCTCACCGCGGCGCTCTGGCCCTTTCGGCCGTTGGAGAACTTCGCGACGAACTTACAGCACATGGGCCAAGCCATCGACATCCAAATCGCGAGAATTTGAACTCGATCTCGAGCGCACTGAACCACCAGCGCGCTCTCTACGCGGCAGGCGCATATCAGGAGCCAGGGTCGCTGCAGCAATGCTTGAGTTCAAGGGACGACTTGGACGAGCCACCATCACCTCGCCCGCTTCTTGCACCTTCTCCTGAGCCAGCTTCGTCGTCTGGGGCGAAGAGGACCGTCGGAGACATGTCACAAAGCCCTGCAGAGCGTCGGAGATCCGTGTATGACTGGCAGGTGGCAACTCGGCCTAACTCTCCAAGTAAGCTGGCGTGGTGGCAGAACCACAACAAAACCCAACTGGACGACAGGGGTGCCGCTCACAGCATGGGGACAAATGGTCCAACTGAAGTGAGTTGTGCGTCGCTCTTCCTGTCCTGTCTTACCGCTAACATAGGCCAACTGCAGTGTGCATGCTCTTGCCACAGGAACGGTTCCTTGTGTGGTGATGGAACTAACAACAGATGGCATCATTTTACAGTGGACAAGACGGCATTTCAAATGATGCGATAGAGGGATGGCTTGGTAGAGCGATGATGCTCGAAACCACGTGGTTTGCGATTCGTTCCTTTGGCTCGCTGGTTCCGTACTGGTTGTGAGTCTCGCGTCCCAGAATCGACTATGCTGCGTGAGCGGCCCAGTTTAGTGGCGCTTATTGGTATTGAAATGAACAGGTGCTCTTTTGTGTGCAGTGGTCATATCAGTCGTCAAGTTGGAAAGATTCAACAACTTGACAAGGCCGCTGTGACACTCGGTCAATCTACCAGTTGGTAGCAATACTCTTAGCGCATTCTATAGTCATGACGGAACGTGGTGATGAAGAGGGAAATTGGGTGGAAGATTTTAGGGGGGCCACGGGCGCTTTATATAGGCACCCGCCGGCGAACGTTGTGCTGACCCAACTCCAGAGGTGTGTCGGCACAGCCCGAGGACGCTTCGTAGATACCACTACCATAAAATAGTGGTCGGGTAAGACGCCGCCGAGCCCACAGGGCTCTTTTGTATCCACCGGACTTCAATTAGCATTTCGTGCAGCGCCTCTTGCTGCTCTTCGCTCTCCATCCGAATATCCCTCACTACCTAGCTCTTGGCCAATTCCGCCATTTTGTTTGCTCTCTCCTCATCCTTTATAACTTGTTCCGCTCGGGTCAGAGCGCTCGCAGTCCTTCGATCTCCTGGCCCACGTGGCCAGATGTCTCGATGGTCTTCTAGAGGTATATCGCTGTGTTCACGCTTCCGGTCCAGTCGTCGGTGCACTGCCCTCCTTCGGGCTTGTCGGTCGTGCCGCAGGCCCGCTATTGCAATATGCTTCTTCGCCGATGTCGTCGTCAAAGTGTCCGCCAAAGTTTCTTGGGTTCCTTGAACCCTTTCAATTGGTCGTTTGGCCCGTACTGTCCGCTTCGGTGAGGTCGTGGCTGCCTGACAATTTTCGTCGGGCGCGGCGGGTAGTTCCATCGCGTATGGCAAGGCGGCGACTTCGCCAATTGCATATGGCTCGGAATTGCCTCAGGGCCGTAAGACGAGCAATAATTCCACACACATCAATACGGACTTGGCCAAAGTGACCGGTGGGCCTGACCTCTGTCGCAGTCTCACCGGGAAGGACCTCTCATCTACCTACCATCCTTCCCCCACCTTTGGCTCACCCCCCCCCTTCAGCTCAGGTAAACGACACTAGCCTCACCAAAAATCTCAAACTTGAACTGCATGTATTCCGATGAAATATTATGATAGGTACATGAAAACTATCTCATTTGAAAGAGCATCGAACAAATTACTCGCTTCTGGTCTTTTGATCACGCGACCCCGCCGGGTGGTACGCTGAGGAGACTCAGGTACCCTGACTTCAATCATCGAAGCCTCCGTATCCGCCTCCTTCTCTGATGAGCCGCAATCCACCACAACAACCCTTTTTGGACTCCCAGCTCTTGATACAGACTCTCCAGCCGCCAGCGCTTCTGCGAGACCTATGAAGCGTCTATTTGGGTTAGGAACGACCCTTCTCTTTCTTCCTCTCTTGAGCCTGTCCACTTCCTCATCCAGCCTGGCAATTGTGACGGCCTAGCACCGTCACACCCCCCTTGCATACATGACCCACATGTTGTTGGGCCAACGGCCCACACGTACGGAAGGCATATTTAGGGAGAGGACACCCAGTTGTATTGTTCGGTTCTCCTTTCTCTTCTTCAGAGCAGAATCTTCGTAATAGAGTCCACAGCCTTCTGGCTCAGTCCGTGACCGTCACACTATTCTGCTCTCAACCACGCCATCGCTGCCGAGCGATTCATAAAAACGCCACGACTTTACCCCATGCCAAGACTGCGCTCGGCCGGCCCACTTGAACAGGACACGGCCCTCCATAGATCGCAGCTCCCACGACCCGTCTTACCAAGCATCGAAGACCAAGACCAAGACCAAGACCAAGACCAAGACCAAGACCAAGACCAAGACCAAGACCAAGATCAAGACCAAGACCAAGACCAAGGCCAAGACCAAGATCAAGACCGAGATCAAGACCGAGATCAAGACCAAAGAAACAGTTCAGGGACCATCGAATCGCACATAACCATCCAGGAAGGACAGGGACCTAAAATGGCTGACAGCACCAATCAGGAGGGCAGCAGCGGCTTGTTCACCGAATTGTCTCCCGAGCAGAGACAGCAATTAACCGACCACATCAGCCGAGAAGTGGCCCGTTTGGTCGCCCAAGTACGAGTGACCGAGCCAAGAGACAGCCAATATGGTGAAGATGAAGTCAGCACACCAGGCCAACGGGAAGGAACAGCCTTTGACGACCGCGAAGAATTCCGGCCGTCAGGATATGCGGCCCTTTTAGCCTTCCGGAGATATGAGTCGATGGATGGCACCAACCCAAACTATAGAGAGGGACGGAAACGTCGGGGAGAGAAACCCACCATGTTCTCCGGCGAAGGGACTCCCTCGTTTGAAAGCTGGATTAAGCAAGTAGAGGGCAAGTTCGAGGAGGACAACGATACTTTCGCCTCTGAGAAGACGCGGATCAACTTCGTGATTACGCGTCTCGAGGGCGCCGCGTATAAGACCGTAGAAGGACGCCACCACTCGCTGACTCGGCCTTTCACAACATTGGCCGAACTAATCCAGGTCCTCCAGACAGCGCACACAAACCCAAACAAAGGCGCCGACGCCCGCGCCCAGCTGCGTGTCTGCAAATACGATTGGAAGAAGGACTTCAATATTTTCTTGGGGGAATTCAACTCCATGTACGAGGCGGCGGGGTACCAACCTTCAATGCAGAAACAGACCCTGTGGGACTCTCTTCCTGCGCCGATCAACCAAGCGGTGGTCGAGAGGGTCTACGATACGAAAGTGCGCTACGAGGACTTCTGTGAGTCAGCACAGCACCAGGTGTTCGTGGCCCGCCACAACTTTTCCGAAGCGCAAAAGAAGCGCAACCACTCTAGTAGTAGTGGTAGCCGAGGGGTTCGGAACAATGGCGGCAACCGTAACAATGCCCGGGGTCGCCACCGGGAACAAACTGACAACGAAGGGGCTAGCCGGGAAGCTGGAGGGAACCGTATCTCCGAGGAAGAGAGGGAACGTCGCCGCATCAATAACCTGTGCTACCGGTGCGGAGAATCTGGGCATATCGCCCCATTCTGTCGCACCCGCAACAACAACACCCGGAAAGGCAGCCACGAAGACCGTGGAGAGCAGGCGGCCCCAGTCAGCGCAGCGACAACCAACACCGCCACGGGCAAGGGCAAAGTTTGCGACCCAGACTCGAGCAGTTCGGAGTCGGAAAACGAGTAGGCCAGGACAAAGTCTCGTTCCTGGCCGACTTGGTGTCTGTGATTGGAGCGGCGGATTTGGACAGACTCATAGGGGGCAAACAGCTGACAATCTCATCTCACCTTAAATTGAACAACATGTCTATTCTCATTCGTGCCCTTGCAGACACCGGAGCGAGTATGTATCTCGCCATTAACCATAGGTTAGCGAGAAGAGCGGTCTCACAACTTGGGGCCCAGAGGAAGAGGCTTGATCAGCCAATTCACCTAAAGGATTACGCGGGAGTCAAGCACAAACACCCGATCAAGGAGGTTCTTTTTATGGACTTCGAGATTGATGGACGACTCCTAAAGAACTTACCATTCTTGGTCGTCCGGATGGACTACGACATCATCATTGGCAGGAAATGGTTTGAACAACACAGGGTCGCCGTTGCGCCTGGACTCAGGAAACTTCTCTGGTCATCAGGACGGGAAGGCGCGACGAGATTATCGGGCCGAAGACGAGACAGTCTGGGGAAGCCGTCCTGGCGAAACCCAACGATTCCAACCATGCGAGTCGACGCCGATAATCCGCAGCAAATCCGCGCTGTTTCCGGTACGGAGCCTATCCAAGGAAGGGGGAAAACGGACGACCAAGAGGACGTCATCCGTGACTGTGGTCGTCTTGCTACCGACCAGCGTCCGGCCGGCCAGGAGAGCAATGCCGGCGGGCCGCCAACGTGTTCGGCACAAGCGCAAGCCCCAAGAATTCATGAACTAGCGTCTCCAGGAGCAAAGGGGACCCAAGTCGACCAGAGTCAATTGCCGCAGGATGGACCACCCCACGACCATAGAGCTACTTTCAGTCATGGCTTTTGGTTCGTTCCAGAGTGCTCTCGCGTGCAACTGCAGTGTCGTCTTTCCCCTGGCTCGCCGTTACTTGCCTTGATCAAGGCTTGCGAATCAGAACGACACGTGAATATTATCGTGGGGTGAGACCAGTCTCATAGAGTCATTTCAGAACCCCTTGTCATGTCAAAAGCATTCATCCGATGTTCTGGCCTTCGCGGTTCCTCTCAAACGGGCCTTCGAGGTCCCTGTTTCAGTGGGGCGCCTTCCAGCTGCAAACGCGGACGTTCGCCATATTATGGGATTAGAGCCACTGTGGTGACCGGTATTGGCTTTGCGAAACGATACGTAACTGGCGTCAGTCCGCTGAAGTTGCCCCAGCTGCTTGTTCATGCCAGGGCCTCTTCTGGACTTGCACGCACACCCACACTTGATCTGCTCGTGAGGAACCGGACGATGCAGCAGCGCGAGGGACGCCCCGTGAATCGGCCGGCTGTCCACACTCCCGTCCACATGCCGCAGTGGCCGGGCATGTCCACAATGTTGCTTACCTACCTGAATATATACGCAGGCGGACGCGATGGACTGCAGCCCTGAGCATGGCTGAAATGCACGTTGGCACGGCTCCGTAACGGGACGACGGAGCTTGATAGACTATATTGGACAATTGCCCTTCTAGTCGTCATTGGCGTGGGCCACTAATGATCCGTTCTCGGCGGACTTTCTGGAGAGCTAGCGGACGTGAGGCCTTTTCTTTTCTCATGGCCCCTACTAGACCTGCGTCTGCATCCGAGATGTCAAGGATTGGACGGCATACACCCCTGCCACTGCATCGCACAAGCTCCACATCAGCGATCTGCCAGGTCAGGAACCGGACGACGCTGTCCACGCGAAGAATTGGACGAAACAGCACCCGTGCTACAGTATCTTATCTGTCTACCAGCCCCGCATGACGACCTTTCTTGTCCAGTTTTGGGCGAGGCGGGCCTAGAGAAACTGCATCTAACCATACCCCGATGATCTGATCAGCTCGTCAGGAACCGGAGGACACGGTAGCGAGAGACACCACGTAACGACGTCCAGAAATTGGCATTTGGCTTTGGCTAAATGTCTATATACTCCATTATCAACAGGGGTGGGCCATTCCCGCAATGGCGCAACACGCCCCGGCTTCACAACAGGACTAGGCGTGCCGCCGTGCAATAACTGCACCTCACAGCGGCAACTTTTGCCGTGGAGACGCCATGGGCGTGCCTGTCTGTACGATAGTTGCACACCCCACAACGGCCACTTGTGGCCATCACCCATCACTTCCGAAAGGGGAGGCGAGGGGTTGGGGTTGGTTGAGTCACAGCGACGACTGTCCCCTTCTTGCCGTTCAGGGCTTATACCATCCTTACCCCCCCCTTTTGCTCCGCAAAAATGTTGCCGCTCCATACAAATTGGACCAACTTCACTTATACAGAATCTACTCAATTTTAAAGCTTTTGACGAGTAGCCACCTGTAGCAGGTATAAAATGACCGAACTTACATTTACGAAGTCAGCTGGTCACCCCAGGTGTCGTGGTCCGTGATACCCTGGCATCGAAAAATGGCATTTCGACCCCTAATCTCCTCCTGCCTCCTTTGCTTTCCACTCTTGCTCATCCTCCACCACCTGTCACAAATGGCTCCAAAAAGGCCTCGTTCGTTCTATACAGAGAACGTGATGGCTGAGGCAATCCTAGATGTCACTGATAACGGTCTGTCGCAGCGCCAGGCTTCTCAGAAATGGGGGATACCCCAGAGTACTATTTCCAGCAGAATACGAGGTCGGTCGGCATTAACCGACCAGGAACAGCCTGAAAAACACTTATCCAGAGACCAGGAGGCCAACTTGGTTGCCTGGAGTCTTCGCCAAGAATATCTGGGTTACGCTCCGTCCCAGAGTCAAATCCGCGCCTGCATTGTTGCCGTTCTGAAACAGCAAGGCTGCGACTCAAGATTGGGACGTCATTGGATAGAAAAGTTCATTCAACGTCATCCGGAACTTAGAAGAAAGGCCGGTAGGCGTCAGAAAGCCAACAGATTCGACTCATTTACTCCCAAAGCCGTGCACTGGTACTTTGACATCAGGGAGAAAGAGTACGGGTGGATCAAGCCAGAGAACACGGTGAATGTTGATGAAGGGGGGATTATGTCGGGCTTTGGTATGCAATGAACGCTCCATAGGCAATATAAGCTAATTCGATCTCTTTTGCTAGGTCTAGACAGTCTGGTGCTTGGAAGTTCAGATCCCAAACGGAAGACTCTTCTCAAGGGACCCCAGTCCCGCAGTTGGACCACTTTTATAGAGGCCATCACCGCCGACGGGCGCGCCTTGACTCCAGGCATCATATCTAAGGGTAAAGTCCTCCAGAATGGTAGCGAAAAATCGATGGCGCAGTAAATTTGAACACCCGTTTGATAGAATGACGAGGGCCTGGACGGCCAAAGTGCCCCAACGCGTCCTGCAGGGGCTGGGTCGCTACGGGTAGCGATAGTGGCCTGTAGACAAGGTATGCATCCGCTAAGGGTCGCTATAGCTCCAGTGTGTCAGGGCTAGAAAATGCTTCAACTCATCGCAACCTCGCAACCGACATGATGTAGGACATTAGACAGGGTGCATTCTGATCGCACGAGCACAGGCTATCCAGTTGAACGGTTTTTCTCGTCGTCGGTGCCTGCTTTCGCGCTTTATGGCGCTCCGAAGATGACATCAACCCGGCAGAGGTGATGTCAAGGGCAAGCGGGTAACCTTAATCGGCGGTAATCAGCGGGGTAATCCGCTGACCGCCCACCAAAACCAGACCTGTGACATCCACTTGATGTCTCTCTCCCTCGCGCTCTCTCTCCATATGATCAACGGTCCTTTTATAACCTTACTTGCCCCCACCCCACTGGCCACGTCAGCCCTCAGCTCCAAGCCTCTCCAGCCTCCTCCCAGCCTCCTCCTTTCTCCTCTTGACTTTTGGCAGACTCTCAGGCTTAGGGTCTAAGTTCGCAGACCCTTCTTCTCGACAGCTAACCCTTCCTGTAACTTCCGGTAGCTGCGCGCGGTGCGGGGGTACCCCGCATATGGCTGTTGTCCCTTACCCGCATGGTGTTCGACTCCCGCGCCTGGTTTCCAGGAATCCCGGCGGAGCCGCGATCCCTGAGGGGGTGTGTCGGGAACAGTCATTGGATATGTGTCAATTGCAGCGCACCTGTTGGAGCGCGTTCCACTTTTGCCTGCATGGCGCGGTGGTCTTCGCGACATAATGAAAGTTGTAAAGGTGAGCGATTTACGAAGTACTGAGGCGGGAGTGATCGTAAGGTCTAGGTTCTTGACCGCTCTTTCTGCAGCCCCAATGTATTTTCGACAATAGCCGGCCGTGCATCATCAGCCTGGGTGTGCCTTTTCCACTGCATGTGCATGGATGATGGATGCGCCGAGCTAACATAACTGGCAGAGATCTCCCCGCTGCACTGGCGACGCAGGTTTCAGACGTGGTGGCCACCTATTCGCCAGTTATTACTCGCAGTTCTAGTAGCCATATAAGCACAACGATTGCCCCGTAACTGGGCAATGTATCCCTAGTCTACTCCGTACTCGACCACAACGCTTGACCTCGATCCTGCCTAATTACCAACAAGCCTATTAGCTCATAAGATGGCCGTCATTGAAATTACCTCAGCGGAGCAGTTTGAGGAGATCATTCGCGCGAATCCTAAGGTGGCTGTCGACTTTATGGCTACCTGGTGCGGTCCATGTCGCCTCATCAGCCCCGTATTTAAGCAGCTCTCGGAACAGTATAAGGATATTGTGTTTCTCTCCGTCGACGTGGACAAGGTCGCGCCAGTCGCCCAGAAGTACAGTGTCCGCGCAATGCCGACGTTTATCATGTTTAAGGACGGAGAAAAGTTTGACGACATTATGGGTGCTAACAAAGTTGGCCTCGAGGATAAGATTAGGGGGTTTGCTGCATAAAACTGCTATTGCAGTGCCGTCCACTGGATTTTGCTTAACAAAAGGCGACGGTAGGCTAAGGTTAGGGTTTATAAGCAACGTGTCGCTCATCATCATCAGAGGTGCTCTTGAGCTCCTCGAGCTTTCCGCTTGGTTGGATTTAGACTCTCTGTTGTCCGCACCTGCGGACTGGAAAGGATGAGACAACGATCTATTGATGCCTGCCTATCTAACTACAGATGGGATGATGATCCGAGTCTATATAGACTCAGGCGATGGAGTCGCCGTATCCATGGAACCTTCTAGATCCGGCTGGAGTCCTCCAACACTATCTAAAACTAGTAAAAATCAGTCTTGTCTACAAAGACGGCCCCGGCAAGAGTCTTGTTTCGAGATACGCGCGGGATACGGCGAGGCAACGACTTCCCCCGACCCCGCACCTGGTCGTAGCCACCTTCGCTAGGCAACCAAGACACCATTAAGATGACTTAAGGCAACTTCGGACGACTCGAAGGCCTTGATCAGATCCATGCTAACAGTCGGATCTCGCGCCGATACGGGTGGGGAGCAATGAGGGACCAAAATTTGTCAACGTTAGTAGAAATACCTTCTGAAAGATGTGTACGTGGGCTACGTAAGTTCTGGGTTTAGGTCACCGTACTCATTGACGATTATTAGGCGCCCTCGCCGCTTATCTTCTGTCCTTTTTCCCCTGTCACACCATTCTTTTTGCCTCGCGGTGACAAACAGTCCAAACGAGATAGAATCGAAATCGTACCCTGATGCCCCACATTGCACGCGACGCCGAAGCGCTTCAAGACAAACACCGCTCCGTCAAAAGTGTGAGTCACGCTTTCTGAGTCTATGTTCTGAACCTTCTTGTGGTTGTAGCACCGCATGGCTTCTCTTGAACGTAGGTTTAGGCACCGTCGGGACCTGTTTTGCGGCCGGCCACTAAAGAACTTGGAGTCGCGCCAAGTGTGCAGTCAGCATGCTGCCTGTACAGTAAGTACTATGCATTTATTGTACAGTACTGCATCAACTTCAGCGCAAAATTATGTCTTCATGTGCACCATAATTCGGCACTGAGGCAAGGATTGGTCTACAGCATGGCGGGATTGGGGCGCTGCGACCGGTTGGCGCTGTATAATCCCCCGCCGCCTTGCCTTCCGTATTTCGTGCTTGGACCACTTGTTTGCAAGATGCCCGTACAAGTGTCGTATAATATCAATTCTGCCTGAAGTGATTATTCATAAGGTGACAATATTTTCTCGTAACGCCCCTTTTTCCTGCTAGGTATCAGCTACTGCGTAATTATTGATGAACCTTCTATTCGTGTATAAAGAGCTGCACAATTCCACACATTGTGTCACTCTTTTACATCATTCATCAATTTGCTGATGCTATTCTGGTCCCTTTTCCTGTCCGCTGTCTCGTGCGACCTGTGGGACATAAGTGCCTATTGGGTTTAAACAATCGAAGGAGGCTGAGAGTCTCTTTGGCCATGTGAGTGAAGGCAAGAAGCTCTGCCTCAGTGGAGGAAGTAGTGACAGTGGCTTGCTTCGTAGCGTTCCACCAAATTGGACCATTAAAGAGAGTGATGAGGCATCCTTGAGAGGATTTCCTCGAGTCAGGGTTATCCGCGAAAGCAGCATCGGTAGCAATCCGGATTTCCTTCGGCTTGGTGAGAAGTTGGAGCTCGTTGAAACTTCCTGAAAACTCAAGCGCTAAGAATCGTGTTGCAAAAAGATACTCAAGCACCTGATAAATGATATCATGATGCTTGGAAGAAGGGTTCATCATGTGTTCAGCAAGTTTGCTGACACCAAAGGAAATGTCGGGTCGGGTTGATATCGCCACAAAATTGATCGATCCCGTTTTCTGTTGAAACAGATTCACGCTTTCAGGAGTGGCCTGTCCGTCGTGAGGTTGAAGAGAATTTCCGGGCAGCGGATTGCCTCGGAAGAGAGGTTTCTTGGTGATTCCATACTGGGTTGCAATCTTGTCGATGTACGAATCTTGGCAAAGCCAAACCTTGCGGGCATCTCGGTCTCGAATGACTCGGATCCCAAGGAACCAGGAGACTTCACCCTGGTCGGTGAGTTCATAGTGGCTTTGTAGCTGTGTGATTAGATGATTGACATTATCCTCGTTCTTCTTCCGATAAAGAATCGAGATATCATCCACAAAGAAGAAAATGATGCACCAGTCGTTCACCTGGATGCATGGTTCATCAGAACAGGTCTTGAGGCCTAGTTCTTCAAAGGTGGCAGTGAGTTCCTTCTGCCAGAGCAAGGGTGATCTTCGTAGACCATACAGGGCTCGGAGAAGTTTGAGAACCCAGCCAAAACGTTTAAATCCATCGGGGAATTCAACGTACACGAGTTCATCTAACTCGGCGTTCACAAAAGCGTTCACAGCATCAAGGTGCCGCGATTCGAGGTCGAATTTGCACATCAGGGCCATCATTATGCGAAAGTTGCGCGCGGCCAGCGTCGCGGCATATGTGTCCCTGCTATCGGTTTCCTGTAAGTCTCCGCGAACGCAGAGGCGGGACTTGAACTTGGTCAGATAGCCATGCTTGTTGAATTTGTACTTGAAAGCCCAAGTGAGGGGAAGGGGTCTTCCAGCTGTCGGATCTATCTGATCGCGCCGAACGGGTTTGAAGGTGCCTCGGGAAAAGAGTGCATCAACTTCGGTTTTGCCAGCAAGTATAAACTGGTCTCCAAAGGGGTGAGAGTCGAGTTCTCTCCAGGATCGTGGTTCAGGGGGAAGGCTCCGCTTGTGGAGTCGTTCCTCCCTTGCTGCTCGGAATGCAGAGTGAAAGGAAGCTGAGGGATGTGACTTTTCCCTCGCTTGAATGCGAGCTGAGCGTCTGATCGGTTCTTGAGGAGTCTTGCTTTTCCTGGTACAGGTCTGCAGTTGATCTGGCTCGGGCTCGGAGTTTGGAGGCGGATCCTCCGGGCCAGCAACAAATATCGTGTCAAGTGGCTCCGGGGTTTCCTTAGGGGAAAGCAATTGTGCTACCTCGTCTTGGAAGCGCACGCGTTTTTCAGGGGCGGACTGAGAAACCATCTGATCGTTGGGCTCCTCATCCTCTGACTCAGAGTCAATGTGCTCCGGGAACAGGATTTCTGGTTCTTTGGTAACCAGGGGAATGTCTCCAGCAGATTTCTGGTAGACCTGTGATTCATCGAAAGTGACATCGCGGACTCGGCGGACTTCCGAACGTGATGGAATCCAAATGCGGTAGATGTTATGGGAATCGTATCCCACGAGATACCCAATCTCGGCGTGTGGTTGAGTCTTCAGATCTCTCTTCTGAGTGCCTTGAAGCGCAGTGGTAGTTAAAGGATAGGCTTTGCAGCCATATGCCTTCAGGTGAGTGATGTCGGGTAAAGGATTCGCTGAGTAACCGGTGTCTCGGTTGTTGTCCCTAAGCCACTCGTGTAGCCTTTGGAAGGGAGTCTTCCAGTTCTCGCGAAGTTGAGGTGACCGGTTGTATAGGTAGGTGGCGGCGGTCCAGGTCTCAGGCCACATATCATCATCGAGATTCGCCTCGACGTGCATGTTCCGAGCCCTTGCGCCTATCACCCCAGAACGCTCGGCAGGGCCGTTCTGTGCCGGTGTGTGAGGAGCAGTAGGTTCATCCTCAATGCCCTCATCATCTATCCATGTAACGTACCCGGACTGGAGAGTCCGCGGTCGTTATCCCGGTGAACGACGCATACTTGGAGCCTCCATTGGCGCCAAATGTACGAAGAGAAGCGTGAAAGTGTTGAAATAAGGGTCTCCTGTTGACTGTTCGGAAGTGCGTAACAGAAAATGAGCCCAGAAAAGTCATCTTTGAGTAGCAATGCTACTTTCTTGCCGTTGTAACTCAGGTGCATGCTAAAAACGTCAATATAGATCCGCCAGAAAGGCCTTGGAGAAGTTGCCTTGGACGGTCTTCGTGAAACTTGTTTTTTCGCTTTTGCGAGGGAGCACACCTGACAGTCGATCGTTGCTGGGCCTTTGATCTTGCATCCAGTTGTAGTCTCGACAAGGTGTTCCAATGCAGCGGGGTTCAAGTGACCCAAACGTCGGTGCCAGAGTTGTGCCGCTTGCGGATCAGAAAGTTTGGGATCCTTTGAGGTCACGGCGGCAATAGCGGGCGGAAGGGAAGGTGGGACTGAAGTAAATTCGAGGACGTTTTGTCCGTGCATCGGGGTCGTCCTACATATCTCCCAACCATTCTTTGACACAATTCCTGTCATAAGAGTCCAATCGATGCCGGCCTTGCGGAAACGATCGGCTGATGCAACGTTGGTATGAAAGGTTGGAACGTGTAAGGCTTGGTTGAGTTGGAAAGTGCGGTTGTAGCTGACATGGATGATGACGGTGCCTCGACCAAGGATAGGCAAAAATTCCTTCCCTGAAAGAAGTCTTTCTCCTTCTTCTGCAGATTGGTAGTCAATAAAACGGTGCCGATCCCGGATTACATGGACATCTGATGCTGAATCGAGCAAAACAGAGTCTCGAAGTGGGTAGACGTATGATGTGGATGCGGCTGCCGGTGGAGGTGAGCTTAAAGTGACTGCAGCAGTTGCTGACGGTTCACCCGTACTCGGAGTGTCGTTAGTGCTAGAACCATCCTGTCGGTTCTGACTCTGCCCTCTCGAGTGTTTGAGCATTCGTTCGACTACTCCAACTAAAGTGTGGTTTCTTCTCAAGAAGCCCTTTCTTTTTAGCCTCCACATCGGCTTTCGGCTGCCAGTTGGCCGGCCGAATCGACTCGTTGAAGTAGTAGCAGTCAGGGAATCGGTGGTCCCTGCCACATACACAGGTGGGTATCCGATGTGTGGTCGAAGAAGAAGAATGATTGTTGGAAGAGGGTTGAGAGGATCGTTGGGCGTCAGTTTGGCTGGACTGCTCGCCCTGCCAAGTGGCGAACGTGCTTCCGCCCTGTCCACCCTTCTGATCAGAGGTGAGGGAATGGGCCCTCTCAAAAATAGTACTGATCTCAATGCCGTCTGGAAATC